TGTCTGTGACGATCTATATGACGCTGACTGTACATTACAACCCTTACGTAAAAAAAAGTATCCTCTTTGGGCAGTCGAGTAACAAAAATTGGATATTTGAATCAGTTTCGAACAAAGCTTAGGAAATATAAACTGTTTTGTGTTTCATTCGTTTGTTTCCACTGACATTGTTACGTTATATTAAATGCATTGGAACGTGTAATGTGATTACGTTCTCAAATTACTTGTCGACACAAACACCGCGGCTTTACGCCTCACCCCACCCGTACACTGACTGTGTTACTGACAATTGACAGGGAAACCTCTACAACGCACACGATCAGGTTTATTTTGGTAGGATTATATGTACAAAGATTAGAAAGGTAAAAGCAAATTACTTGGAAGAACTTTGTAGATTCAATATTTTTGAATTGTAGCTGCTAACAAATTGACAAAACCTGATGCAGCTTCACGTCCTGATGTAATCCCTTGTCTCTGTTAGCGGCTGATGACGTCACACTACACGAAGCAAGTCTGCCGCCATTCGGAGATTAGTGTTCGTTAGTATTGAGTACTGAGTAAACCTTACGAAACATTTCAAAAGGAAAGCTTCATAAACTTCGAGCAGACATTCCGGATGTCAAATATAAACATTGAATTGAAAAACATCATTTGTGGAAAGTCTTTTGTAATTTTCTCTCAGGAAATTGAAGAATTGTTCATTTGATAGCAGAAAAAAACGCGCGTCAAGTGAAGGGTCGTAGTTCAAGAGGCATTTTACAAAAGCTCGCTTCAGTGATTGCGTTTCCTCAGCGCGAGTCATTCGACACAACAGCGCCGACTTCCTGACGACTCGCGAACGGGAAATTAATTCTACGCGCCCTAAACAACCCGACTGATCAATTAAGTTTAGTTAAACTTTTAAATATTTTTACAACATTTAAAAGTAGAAACGACACCGAGCTTGCAGTTCACAGATATCACGTACAAAGAATATAAACTGAGCCTAAAATGTTACTAATCAATTAATTTGTTGCCCAAATCTTAGCTTTTACTTATAAAATGTTTAGAATCACGTCATTTTCTTTATATATCATACAATGAAAAAGGATTTTCAAATGTAAAGATCTTTTTGCGATATTCCGCGGATGCTTCGGTTTGACTTGTGTTAAATTGTTCGAGTCATTTCGTCAACGAATGCTTTTTGTCCCTGAGACCGCGACCGCCCTTACCATGTCCCTTCATTCTCCTCGCCCCGCACAAAGAAACACGAACGAACGTTCACTGAACCCTCCTTATATTATTTGGAATCGGAGTTTTTATAAAAGTAATGGCAAGTTAATTTTTATACACATTTCAAAATTGCAAAAGCTATTTATATAATATGGTGATGTTGGTAATGTTGAACACAAGTATAATTAGTTTTATGTAACACGGATAGACAGAGTGGTGACCAGTTGGGTCAGACGATTAGTTTAACAAGCGCCCACTCTGTCTGACTGACGGAGCACATCGCTTGTTAGTTTGACGGAGAGGCGCAGCTAACGACCTCGCCTCACCACCGTACACACGTACACACTTACTGTTACACCAAAATTGTACTTAAAACTCGTTAGTTCATAATCTCACTACTGGTATTGCATTGCGACAAAAGCACAAACTGAAACAAAACGTCCGCAAAAGATTCTAAGTTAAACTATAATAACAATAGGGAAATGTGAATTAAAAAAAATCTTATTGAGATGAATTTAATGTCGCGTTAGTGAAAATCCGCACAACAAACAAACAAATCACTTTCAGTTACATCAACTCGGAGGAGCTTTTAAAAGCCTCCATTTTGATAAATCAAGGTCCTTTCCGAAGTTTAAGCAATGTCGTGTTCTTATTTGAGTATTTACTTGTGTTGAAACTTTCATACAAACCAATATTTAAAAGAAAAAAAAAGCTTGGCAATTTTTTGTTCAATATTTTCCGACTTATCTGCGTCTGGAAGATTTTACAATATTGCTTCGAAAGATTGTACTAGTTAGAACGTAAATATACTGAATTATGTAACATTATGAAAGAAATTGAAAGCAATACTGCACATCACACCGCCTTCCGATAATTTTATTAATTCATGATGAGTCTTTTTTTTTCCAGAGGGGAATGCTTTATGCATACTCCGCGCCCCGGGGGGGGGGACGCGGTAGTTATGTGGGATTCTCCTCCATAGCGGAGGCATACCCACTAAACCCCTCTGTTCCTCCAACGCATCGGGACGGGACCACGGGCACGCTTTCGCTCTCGTCCGCGGCCCGTGATGAGTCTAACAGAACCGAACTTAATTGCTTCAATAAAAATTTGTGTCCTTTTCTATTATATTTATTAATCTATTGCTTTCCTTTTTTGTTAAATAATATTATATGTATTCTTTATTCTGAGCCATTAACCTCACTTTTATCAAGTAATGTCCGACGCTACACAATCGTCGTTGGTCAGTGAAGCGCGCAGCTGGCAGCGGCCGGCAGATAGCGCGCCCTCTGATAACTGAATGATGGATCTCAATGTATCAAGGAACGAGAACGATCATTTGTATTATTTTTGTAACACACGCACTCTCCTTTTATATATTGAAACAATATGTTTTTCACGAGTAATTTTTCAAAGGATCATCGCCCGGTTACTTCACGACATCGAGCTATCAAGTGATTAGTTGAGAAAAATATTATTTGCAGGATATTGGTCAAATATAAATGTCTAATTATTGTGTAGTGCGGCGGGGGCGGGGCGGAGGGCGGGCGGGGAGCGGCGGATAACCGCAGCGCGCGGACCAGTGCCATTGCAAATCAATTATCATTTAATTGAACGCATTTGTTATTATAATTAAAACATCGGTTTGCGTGAAGTCTGGCCGCAGAGCACTTTGACTGCGCACTAGACAAATGTATCAGCTCATTTATTAAATAAAAGTGCTCGAAACCCTGTCACCTGGGGATGTTAGAAATGAGCAAGATACGTATTATAAATGTTAGGTAAAACAAACTGCAAACTCAATAAGATGGCTGCAGTCACATCACGTGACACAAGTCGCGACTGTTATCGAGTTCCGACGTGACAAGTTTAAGACAAGTGTAAGACGCGACGTCACGCTCTTTACGCTTTATACATGCACGTACATACGAGTACGTCATGACACAACTCTGCAACACACAGTGAACACAACTCAGAGGTTTCTTTCCTTTATCAAAACTACTTCAATCTATAAACACTCCTAACTCTTACTAATTCCGTTACACTGTTTTAGTGAGTTTGTTTCTATTTACTTTATATGACAAGAACATTTACAAGAATTCTATGTGATTGGGATATGAAACCTCTATCTTTTTCAGACTGTGGCGCGGCGCAGGGCATTTACTTGTCTGCTTCTTTAAACAAAATAATGTTAAACTATAACAGTTATTTGAATTTCTTTTTTTACTTTCATTTAGAATTTTTACTTGTGTTTTTGCCCTTTTGACCGTTTTCCTGTAGTAAGTATAAATATCGTAAAGAATTACAAATGTTCTATAGAAGTTTCATGTTATGATGTCACGTAAATGTCATTTTACAACTTTCACTCGATTTGACCGAACGGACTAAATGTAAATGCATAATGTTATCTTTGTGCGAGGCATTTGTACAAGTCCGCTCTGGCTGAAGGCTGAGGCCGCCGGCGATACTATCAGCCCCCGCCTGATGTCTTACACATGAGCTGCGCTGCGTGTCGCCGATACAACCCTCCATTTCTTATTCCATATTATCTTTTCTTTATTTATTTCAGTAAAATATCTCGCAACGACAAGTCAAATTATATGGGATTTAACATTTATTACAGTTAGGAAGAGCAATATACTCTCTCTCTCTCTCTCCACACAACCAAGACCAAGACGGATTGGGGAAGCTGACCCCACCACCTTGTGGTGGGGTCAGCTTCCCCAATCCGTCTCTTCCACTTTGCTCTGTCCGTGACATCTTCTTCTGAGACTTGGCACTCACTCATGTCTTTCATTACTACATCTTTCCATCTCGTTTTGGGTCTGCCTCTGGATCTGCGACCAGGCAGAGAAAGAGCCTGGTTACGCCGCACATCCATCTCAGCATCTTCATTTTAGCAACTTGAATGGTATTCACGTCCTTTTTTGTTACGGCCCACGTTTCACTCCCGTACATGAGGACTGGTCTTATCATGGACTTGTAGACCAAACCCTTGAGTTTAACTGGCATTCTTCTGTCGCAAGTAACACCAGTTAATTCTCGCCATTTTTGCCACGCTGCGGCTATTCGGTGTTGAATGTTGCATTCCAGGTTCCCAGAGATGTGCATCATACTTCCCACATATTTATATTGATCGCACATGGTGACTAACTGACCGTCGATAGGAATCGGCCGGTTGTCGCTTAAATTTTGATTGTTAAAGGACATGTACTGGGTCTTTGCAACACTCAACACAAGGCCACCGGTCTACAACTGGTGTTTCCAATTCAGGAGTGCCTCTTGTAACTTCGGTTGGCTCTCGGCGCAGATAGATAGGAAGAGCAATATACTAACTATAATAAATGTAAGTTCTCTATCTTACGCATTTTTGGTATTTCTACAGTAAGTTGGCTGCAAGAATGGCGGCTTGAGAAGCGGCGGATATCGTTGCAACGATACACACGAAGGAGTTGTTTTTGAGGAAACATAAAATTTTTATGATTTAGTTTTTACTAAAACAAGTTCAGGAAACGATATCGACGTGAGGCATAATCCTCTTTCCAATACGAGATCGACAGACTATCATTCTATAAATGGTCCAAAATCTATCTTTTATAATATAAACATGCCTTAAATTTTGTATTTCATTGAAAGCATAATATATAAAAACAGCGCCATCTTGTGGCATTTTAGGATATTGCCAGATGTCGCTGTACTCAAGTAAGCGATATGTTTTGCTGCCGCAGTATCAAGTGGCCGAGTGGCGGACAAGGCGCGAGGGACACATACAAAATAAAACAGCGACACATATTTATAAAGTTATATTTAACCACTAGAAATTATCAACACGTACATTGTAAGCGGATGACGTCATCCCACTCGCTCCGTCTCGCTCTGGTGTGACGTCACGCCGCGCGGCAGCGACGTGACACGACACAGACATGACGTGTCACGTCACACAGACACGGACTTCCTTGTCGGCCCTCCTCAGACATCTCTCTCTCACACGAGTCATACAACGTGCTTCCACTATGAATGTATTTACGTGATACAGACGAGTTCATACAACGACATACAATAAGAAGTCGGTCTATGAGCTCTCTAGTTCCATGTTCATGTTTGTAACAACATTGCTTACATTTTGGATGAGATGAGATGAGATGAGAAGTGAGATGAGATGAGAAGTGAGATGAGATGACACACGGACAGATGTATCGACTCGACTTTACAAAACGTACAAAACCTAAACTGTATAATGTACAATATAAATCAATATTATTACTAGTAGTTACATTACATATTGTTTGTTTGTTTGTTTGTTTGTTTGTCGTCGCTATAGAAACATCACTGATTTCATCATTTGTTACAAGAAATGTGATGTTTACAACTTTTTACCTCTTCCATACAAAAAGATCTGATCCAAACGAAACCTTAAGAAAACAGAAAGTGACTTTATATATATCTAAATATGAAAGAAATATAAATTAGTATGGAGGCGCTTCAGTTGCGTACTGTTTAGTATTGATTCAAGTTATATCATCTCGTAGCTATTTACAACAGAACAGTTATCTGCTCTCGCACTTACAATACACGTTCAAATAGGAATTTGGACCTTATCACTACGTACACAGTATCGTCGTTGTGGTGAGCTGGAGTGAGCTGGAGTGAGCTGGGGTGAGCGGCTCACTTGTGCAGTCCGGCGCGCTTCGCCTCCAGCTCGTAGATGAGCAGCCGCCACATCTTCACCACGAACACCTCCGCTTCGTCGTCCAGCACCTGCGACATGCGGACAGTTAGCGTGGGCGCGTGGGCGCGTGGGCGCCGGGCGCGTGGGCGCGGGGCGCGTGGGCGCGTGGGCGCGGCTCACCATCTGCACGTCGTCGAGGATGCCGGCGGGTGCGCTGCCGGCGAGCACCTTGCTGCAGATGAAGTCGACCAGCGTGGGCTCCGGCTCGCCGATGTACTCGATGATCTTCTTGTTGATCCAGGGCCGGATCTTCTTCTCCATCAGCACGTTGTCGATCTGAACAGTCGCACACGTTAGTGTTGTGACGATCGCGTGTTGAACATTAGCACGGAGGGAGGCGGCGGGTACCTGCGAGGTGTCGAGCTTGTACTGGAAGAGCTGCTCCTTCTGCGTGGGGATCTTGTCGATGAGACTCTTGATGTGCTTGCGCTTCTCCTCCGCGCACTTGTTCTCCTTCTCCTTCTCCTTCTCCCCCTCCCCGCCCTCGCCCTTTTTGCCTTTATCTGTTAACAAATTGTATTTGAAAGCCTTGCTAAAGAAAAGAAATATGAATATGTCTGGGTTAAGCATGGTAAGATTCATGTTCGCAAAAATAATACTAGCAAAGCATTTGTCATTGCTAACCCGAGTCATTTAAACAAAATTGTATAAAAAATTGCCTAACTGCATTTGGAGATTTTTTAGTTCACTATTTTAAATTCATTATAATCTACTTATTTTTGTACTTATTAAAGTCAGTGATTTGTTCCAGATTTTGTAAAAGGTTTTGCACCCCTGGCTCGTTAACTAATGAGACACCTTCCTTTTGTTCTCGCATAATAAACTTTTGTATTCGATATCGCACTGTTCACACAACAACGTTAACTAATAAAAATATACTTTTCTCACTTGCACTTGCGTACCCAGCGTTCTATTGCTTGCCTCTTCACGCAATTGTTTTTAACTATTCGTTTTTAATAGACCTCAACCGGTCACACTACCTTCATTTCATACTGTTTGTTAAATAAATTAATATTGTACATGTTAATCTTGAATCAAATTAGTTTACTTTAACCTTATCGGTCGCATATACAAACGTTGTAGTTATGTGCTATGGCTAATGTTCGCGATCGTCAGCTGTCCATATATTACCAAAACGTTCGTGGGTTACGAACTAAAACTGAAGTTTTTTACCGTCAGATTTTAATCAATTCCTACGATATTGTTCTGTTAACTGAAACTTGGCTAACAAATGGTATTTTCGATTCGGAGTTGTTTGACGACCGTTACATAGTTTGGCGCCGCGATCGGAATTACGATTCCACTGGCCAATCGCGAGGTGGTGGTGTACTGATCGCAGTGCGTAGAGAATTACAGGCTTCCTCGCAGCCGCTTTTTCACTCGACAGCGGAGGACCTTTGGCTCAAATTACACATTAAAAAGTCCAACTCTCGTAATCTTGTAAATCTTTATATATGTGTTATTTATCTTTGTAAACAAAATAGCGGCCTATCATTTTCTACACAATTAAATAACTACGTCTCTCTACTCAATAATACCATGTTAAGTAACCCCGACGATCTATTTCTAGTCATTGGCGACTTTAACATGAGTGGCATCTCCTGGGTTCCATGTAAAGGTCAATCATTCACTCCGGACCACCTGACTACTAATGACGAATACTTACTGGCCGATGAGCTGTGCGTGCTAGGCCTCGGACAGTATAATGGTGTTCTTAATAGTTATGGCAAGACTCTTGATTTGGCCCTATCTAATAGTCAAATAACTGTATTGGAGTGCAGCGACGCTTTAGTTCCGATTGACCCCTACCATCCGGCACTCATAATTAATTTTGACTTTTTTGTTATACCCAACTTAGACAGTGCACCGCGCGTTCGTTATTTCTACCACAAAGGCGACTTTCATTACTTAATGACGAAATTTCTGCGGTTGATTGGAAACACGAATTCTCATTACGATCCATGGATGCGTCTGTCGAGTATTTCAATCAGAAAATTATTGAACTCCAAGATAAATTCATTCCACATAAAAGTATAAGAAAAAATTCATATCCGGCATGGTACAATGTATCACTTATTAAATCTATTAGGCAAAAATATAAATATTTCAAGAAATTCAAGAAATACGGCAATAAATCCGACGAGCAGACCTACAAATTGTTACGTAACAGAGTAAAGCTTTTGGAAAGGGAGTGCTACAATCTTTACCTAAGCCGGACAGAGGATTCAATAAAAGCTAATCCGAAACACTTTTGGACATTTGTTAAAAACCGCCATAATTCTAATTCTATTCCTAGTACGCTTGAGTACAACAACGTACACCTTTACTCAGGCGAAACTATTTGTGAAGCATTTTCCTCTTACTTTTATTCTACCTTTCTTGATCCTACTGTCGTTAGTAACTGCAACTCGAATCCTCCGTTTGTATCACCTCCATCTAACTCTGCAGCAGACATCTGCTCTGTAGAAGTTAAAATTGAAGAGGTGTCTAATCAACTCTGTAAACTCGATACTTCGAAATCTGCCGGTCCGGACTACATATCTGCACAACTATTAATAAGATGTGCATCATCTCTGTCTATTCCTATCTCCATGTTATTTGAGAAATCCTTGTCCTTAGGTGTAGTTCCCAAGATTTGGAAGTCAGCCTTTGTTACGCCTGTTCACAAAAAAGGATCTAAAACGGAAATTACTAATTATAGACCTATATCAAAATTATGTATATTAGCCAAAGTATTTGAAAGAATAGTCTACAATCAGTTATATCCCATTCTTGCTAGTTCGCTTAGTCCCTTCCAACATGGTTTCCTAAAAGGCCGATCAACTACAACTAATTTAATTCTATTCAATGATTTCATTACATCTGCTATGGATGATGGCCAACAGGTTGACGTTATCTACACTGACTATAGCAAGGCATTTGACCGAATAGACCATAAAATCCTATTGCTTAAGTTAAACAGCATTGGTATACACGGAGATCTACTCAGATGGTTCTCGTCTTATATCGAAAATAGAACGCAGGCTGTTGTTCTTAATAATTACATGTCCAGCTGGGTCCATGTCCCTAGCGGCGTTCCGCAAGGCTCCCTGATCGGTCCCCTGTTATTTATAATATATGTTAATGACATCTCCTTTTGCCTAAAATCTTCTAATCTACTCTGCTTTGCTGATGATATGAAAATTTTCAACACTATATCGTCGCTAGACGATATGGCGGTACTTCAGGCTGACCTATCGCGACTTGAAGAGTACTGCCGTGTCAATAAATTAGACCTCAACGTCTCTAAGTGCTCAGTAGTCACATTCACTCGAAAACGTACTGCTCTGGCCACATCCTATTATCTGCGTGGACAACTGTTACCTAGATGTAATTCGATGCGCGACTTAGGTGTTCATCACGATAGTAAGTTGCTTTTTGATGTTCACGTAGATAATATAGTTAAAAAAGCGTCTAAAGCACTTGGGTTCATAATGCGTATTTCCAAATGTTTTACCGAAGCCAAAACCCTTAAAACCCTATATTGTACGTTTGTACGAAGCATTTTAGAATATGTTTCTCAAGTTTGGAATCCGCGTTACCTCAGTTATATTGATCGTTGAAAACATCCAAAAACGTTTTATTAAGTACCTTTGTTTCCATCAGAGAATCCCTTATCATTCCGAGAATTACCTTGAACTCTGTCGCAAATATCATCTGTTGCCACTTTTCATTCGACGTGAGATAGCTGATTATATTTTTTTACAAAAAAATTTTAATAATGAAATAGATTGTCCCGAATTATTGTCCAAATTATATATAAACGTCCCATGTAAATCTATTCGCTCCATACCACCTTTGCTGTTGCCTAAAGCTTCTTCTAATTATAGACAAAACAGTTTTATTGTGCGTGCAATTAGAAATTTTAACAAAATCTGTAACAAATATGACTTTGATCCATTCACTACGAGTGTATCCTCGGCACGAAGGTGCCTAGCACTGGACTTTTTCAAATACAAAATATATACGTGAACTGCTACTACTAATATTAATATTCTACTATAATTTAGTTTTTAACTACATTGTTATATATTACTATAGTTTAATAGTTGCGATACTTGTTTGTTTGTGTTTGTTTCCTACGCAACTTTGTCCGAAATTTGGACGACTCGACCAACGCACAACGAAACGAACGGAAACTACAAAACGTAACGACAACAATAACAACCAACAAACGCAATGACAACACCGAACCAAACACCACCGGGTCCGTGACCGGCTTCAACTTCAAGGTACTTCAACATCGTGTTTAGACAAATACGGTCTCGCCACAGCGCCATCTATTAGGGCGTAGCAAAAACGGCGCCAACAGTTTGTTTGCTCATTATAGATATAATATTGTTATAAGTGAAGACTTGTCATTGGCTCTCAGTTGTCTAGTCTATAGTTAATAAGATTAATATAGCTGTAAGTTTTCCATGTAAATAAATAAATAAATAAATTGAATACACGCTTTTCATAACATGATCATGGTGCGTGCGTCGGGACAGGAGACGCAGCGACGTGTTCTCACCCGGGTCTTTGCCGCCGGTGCTGGTCCTCCGGCCGCCGCCCGGCTTCTCCTTGTCTGTAAACAATTATCATACAATGAGCAGTGTGCGTGTGTGTGTGTGTGTGTGTGTGTGGGTGTGTGTGTACGTACTGGGGGGCGGGGCGTCGTCGTCGTCGCGCGCGAAGGCCGCGTGCACGCGCCGCATGCGCCCGTCCTCTGCAACACATAAACACCACATTCCTTAACTAACGGCAGCGTCGGTATGTCCCGAGGTCAGGGATAAGTTATATGTATCGCGTAGTTATATAAATGCGGCACTAACGTGTGGGCGTGTCGGCGGAGGGCGTGGGGCTGGGCTTGGTGCGGAAGCTGATGCTGATGGGCGAGCTGCCGCCCGACACCGCGCTCACTGCGCCCCCCGCACCCCCCGCACCACCCGCACCACCCACCGTCTGCTGCGCCCGCGCCGGCTGGTCGGGCGTGGCGGGCCGGGGGGGCGTGCTGCCGCCGCTCTGAAATGTTAACAACAATTACAACATACGGTGCAACACTTTATATAACGGAGGTGGGTGATTATAACAGTGGGGTGAGTACTGACGTGTGCGGGCGGCGTGTCGGTCAGGGGCGGGGTCTCGGCGCGGCGGTGTCTCCTGCGGTGTCGGCGGCGCGGGGGCGTGGTGCCCGGCTCGCGGGGCTCGTGGTGGTCGCGGTGGTCGTGGTGTTCGTGGTGGGCGTGGTGGTCGCGGTGGTCCCTGTGGTCGTGCGGGGTGGGCTCGCGGGCGGCGGGCGCGGGGGGCGGGTCGCCGGGCGAGTGCGGCGAGGGCGGCGAGGGCGGCGAGCGGGGCGAGCGGGGCGAGGCGGGCGAGGCGGGCGCGGGCGGGGTGAGCGAGGCGGCGAGGGAGTCGGCCGCGTCGTCGGAGTCGATGGTCTCGGCGGCGGCGGGCAGGTCGCGGCGCGCGCGCGCCTGCAGGTGGCGGTGGCGGGCCGCGGCGCGCGCCAGGTGTCGGGCGGCGGCGCGCGCGGGCTGGTCGGGCAGCAGCGCGCGCGGCGTGTAGCGCTCGTCGTGCTCGCGGCGCGCGCGCTCCCAGGCGGCGGCGGCGGCGCGCGGCGAGGCGTTGGCGGTGAGCTCGCGGCGCAGCGCCTCCAGCTCGTCGGCCTCGCGCGCCCGCTCGCGCGCGTCCGCCTCGGCCTCGCGCACGCGCGCGCCCAGCCTGCGCGCCAGCTCCTTGCCCTTGTAGTACTTGTGGTCGTCGCGCTCGTCCTCGTAGTCCTCGAGGAACTCCTTCAGCCGCTTGGCCTCGCGCTCGCGCTCCTCCTCGCGCCCGCGCGACCGCGACCGCTCCTTCTCGTACTCCTTCATCTTGCGTCGCTCGCGCGTCTCCCAGTTGCGCAATCTGGGGAAGGAAGTCGCTCGTCATACTTCCCGACGCGACGACGAACAAACACGAATAATTAGAACGGCACCGACCTCTCCTGGTAGGCGGCCTCCTTCTCGCGCGCCTTCTTCTCGAGCCGCTTCTTCTCGCGCAGCTCCTCCTCTATCTCCTTCTCCCGGCGCGCGTCCGCCTCGCTCCTGCTGCGGCCGCGCGACCTCTCCCTGTCCCTGTCGCGCTCCCGGTCTCGAGATCGTTCCCTTTCCCTCTCCCTCTCGCGTTCCCTTTCTCGTTCCCTGCAATGGGCAATTCAAATTACTATTACGGTATCATTGTATTCGATATCGACGTTTCTTTTATCGTGTCGGGTAATTAAAATGTTCGCGAGCAAGTCGTTATACAAGTTAGGTAGAAAGTTGCGAGATCATCGGATACCGACATCAGTGGAGCGGTGAGAGCTGTGGGTAACACAGCTGACAGTGAGGGCGAGCTGGTCTCGTGTCGTGTGCGGATGTGGGCACTTGTCCGTAGATAATGTATTGCTCACCTCTCTCTATCCCGCTCCCTCTCGCGTTCCCGCTCGCGCGCCTCTCGTTCCCTCTCCCTCTCGCGCACCTCCCTGCAACACAGCGCGACGTTAGCGTCTCCTGTCGCCCGCCGCTCTCCTCCCCCTCTCCTCCCCCACTCACCTCTCCCGCTCCCGCTCTCGCTCCCGGTCGCGCTCCTCGCGCTCGCGCTCGCGCTCCCGCTCCCGGTCCTTGTCCCGGTCCCGGTCTCGGTCTCTGTCTTCGCGACGCTCCTTGGTCCTGCACCTCACATAGTCTCACTCGTTGGCTTTTTTACGTTTTATAATTCAACTAGAGCCGTGCAACAGTCGTGCGGCAAACTACAAGTGTAACGTCGGTGACTTACCCGGCGGGACTGGTCCGGCGGCGCTCCTTCTCCCTCTCCCTTTCCCTGTCCCGCTCCCTCTCGCGGTCTCTGTCGCGGTCGCGGTCCTTGTCTCGCTCGCGGTCCCGGTCCCTGTCGCGGTCTCGCTCGCGCTCGCGGTCCTCCTTGTTGTTGTCTCGCTTGCGGCGCACCACCACGTCCGCCTCCTCCTGCACCAACACCACGCTTGCACTCCGCGCCCCCACCCCCGCACCCCCCACACCCTCGCGCCCCGCACTTGTGTTACCTCGTTTCATAGCACATTCTATTCAAAATTTCATACATTTATTAAGTACAGGATTTGACATCTGAGGTGCCGACTGTGAACTATCTCGAAGCGTTTTTTTTGTTCCTCAAAAATTTATTCTTAATAAATATTAATATGAACGGCGACTCGAGCGTCCGAAGGACTTATGACTTATTCATAAATTTGACTGTACAGAATAACACAAGCGCAGATGGCGGAGAGCGCGGGGCGCGGCCGCGACACGTGTACACAGTGCAGCTCGGTGTCTCTATCCGCCGTCTGCTGCCTCACGTCACGCTACGACACGACATGACACGACACGACACGACACGTCGTACGTCTCGCCATCGGACGTCATCTACATTTGCAACAAAAGAGCGGGCGAGGCGACATGACTAAAGGGAAGGCCGCAGTCCGGCGCGTCACGACGTGCCGACCGAAACGAGTGTAGACAGTACAACAAACAGTATACGCGCGTGGCGAGTGTCCGCCGCGGCCCGTCGCACAGCGCACTGCGCGCGCCGCCCGCCTCGCTCGGACTGCGGACCCGCCGCCGGAGCTCACCCGGCGCCGCCCGCCGCCGCGCGACCCCCGCACCCCCTGCGCCCCCTGCGCCGCGACCGCCACTTACTGATGCGGGCGCGGCGCGCTGCACCGCCGAGGCCGCGCACCCCCCGCGCCCCCTGCGCCGCGACCCGCCACTTACTGATACGGGCGCGGCGTGCTGCACCGCCGACGCCGCGCGCACACACAGTAGACACAGTGAGTGCGGGGGGCGACCTCGGCGACTTCCACACACACATTTATAATATTAAAAACAGTATCAAGGTTTTGAATCAATCGAGACTCAAAAACATCGAGCAGTGAACACACAAGAAACACACGACAGTGAACTAAATGTAAATAAATCACCTCGCTTTTTGTACAATTGTTGTTGTGCGTCTCGACTGACTCCAATGTTAAACTATTCAATCACTACGTTCCAATGATACAGCAAATTATATTAGAAAATAACAAGCGTATGATAAGTTATACATATAAATAAAATAAGAATTCGACAGAGAAGAAAAACAAATAATTAAATATATATATATATATATATATGCTATAGGTATAGGTATATGAACAAGGCGAGCGACTCGGCGAAGCTGCGGCGCGCGACCCTCCACTACATATTTAACTACTTTCTCATACTACGTCTCCTCCGACACAACTTTGGTACGTTTGAATGAAGATACGTTGCAGATGTTGCAGATGTGACAGGTTACATTTAGATGAGTGCACATGGAGCAGGTCGGTGTCCAGATGTACTGAGAGGTGGAGGGCGAGTCGTGCGCCGCCACCCGCCGGCCGCCGCGACACTCACCCGTCGCCGGCTGCCCCGCTACCCCACAA